GCTGGGGGGGGCCATGCTCGGGGCTTCTTTCCTCCAGGCACAATGTGTTCCCCTGAGCTGCCGGGTAGGAGTCAGAGGCCCCGTGTGCCGGCGGCCACGTTCACAGAGCTTCTACCGAACCGAGGGAGCCGTGGGGAATGGCCGCGCTGAGGCTGGCACCGGGCTCACGGGGTTCTCCCCCCACCCGTGCCCGCGGCTGCTCAGATGGCAGGGCCGCGGAGGGGGCATGCCGCCCTGAAGCCCACGTGCCAGGTGTGAGGACAGAAACACGGCCCCTGGGAGGGGCACCCTCCAGCCTCGGGGGACTGACCGTGGATCACAGCCGCGCCCCGCGCCTTAAGCCGTCATTTTTAACTTTGCGTTTTTAACTTGTCAACGCTGACTGTGCAACGTGGAAACGTAATTTCAACCTAAAAACACCGGTGGCTGATTGTTTGCTGAAACGAGTGTTTATGCCCGCATGGCTCCTCCCGCGGCCGGGCGCTCAGCGGCCCTCGCTGTGTCCCGTGGCGCCCTCACGTCCTGGGGCGGCCGTCTCTCTGCTTCTCCCGCTTCGCTGCGCCGGTCCGGACACGAGGGGAAACGCAAAAACAGTGCCGAGGGGAGGCCTCCGTTCCTCAGGGGCAGAGAGCCTGCGCCTGGGCAGGTGAATGTTTTTAGGGTGTTGGGGCGTTTCTAAGATGTTAGCAGGTGACCGTACAGGGAAGGGTAACAGAGAAACACTGTTCCTCCATCCTCTTAGGTCCAGTGCCGGGGCCTGTGAATCAAGCTGCTAAAGGACAGATTCATAGGAGAAAGGGTTTGTTTTGCACGAATTTATAAAAGTGAGCGCACAAAGGGAAACTAGCCTGAAAGCTTCTTTTTTAAAAAATATTTTATTTTTTAAATATATTTTCATTGATTTCAGAGAGGAAGGGAGAAGGGAGAGAGAGACAGAAACATCGATGATGAGAAAGAATCATGGATCAGCTGCCTCCTGCACGCGCCCTACTGGGGATCAAGCCAGCAACCCGGGCACGTGCCGTTGGCCAGAATCGAACCTGGGACCCTTCAGTCCACAGTCCAACGCTCTATCCACTGAACCAAACTGGCTAGGGCGCCTGGCAGCTTCTATACCATTTTAACAAAGGGCAATAAATG